TCTCTCTCTCTCTCTCTCTCTCTCTCTCTCTCTCTCTCCCTCTCTTTATTTCCATACTAACATAACACTTACACTCATACATGAAATGTGCGGCTATGCCTCTGTCAAAATGATTTGCTACGAGGTAGATAGTAGTAGATAGATTACAGTTTGCTATCATTTTGACACACATAACGAGTCAGTGACACAATTTTAGACGCGAGAAGAGCAGCAGACAGTCTCGTCCCGAGCTTCCATGTGAATGCAGTCGAGGACAAGGCCGGATGGCTTCCCCAGCACGTTATACTCACAGCGTCTCCACGCCGCGCCCACCGTTCCCGCGCTGAGGTGGTGCTGGACTGCCAGGGGGGGAAGTCCACGCTCCTGGTCCCGGGTGCGCGGCGTGCTATCGCCCGGTGTGGCGCCGTGTCGTGGAGTGAGCGCCGGCGCGCGGCGGAGGCGTCGCGACACTGCCGAGAGGCCGGCGGGGCGGCGGCGGGGCGGGGAGCGGAGAGCCACGCGACTAGAGAGACCATCGGAGGGAGTCTCTCAGTCTCGGTCTGAGACTCTCCACGCACGCCGAGGGGGGGGGGGGCTTTTCTCTCTCGTGTCGTGAGGTGGTCGCACCCGTTTCGAGGCGAGGGCTCTATTGGGATTGGGTTTGGTCATGTTGCAAAGAGCATGGAGAAGGAGAAGTGGTCCTGCGAAAGTGCGGCTGAAGTCGCACAGAAACCTGGGTCGTGCGACTTAGGTCACTCAGCTACTGGACACCCAAAACTTACAGTATCGCTGTTAGTTTTTTTGTGAGCCCACTGCGCTGTCACGCGCTGTTGTATTCAGTTTGGCATGCCAGGTCTCTTGTTTTGTTTTTTTCGACCGGTCGAAGTCGTGCGACAGTGTCTCGGCGGTGCCCAGTTTATGGGCGGGATTTGCCTACAGTCGTAGGTACACTTCGTCACCATGATGGTTGCGGAGAAAAGGCCTTATCGGAAACGTGTGGTCTACTTTGATAAAGTCGTAAGAGTGGCATGCAATTAAGTCGTATGCAAATGGGTAAGCATGAAAGCATGGTAGTGCATCGATGAGTAAAAGGAGTATTCGATATGTAAATGAGAAGAATTAGTAACTTATTGCCAAAATTTTGCAAAGTGGCAGTACGAAAGCCTTACTGATCTTGCTGTAGCCTGGTTGAAGGGGAATTCCTTTAAGGAAAGAGAGGTAGCTCAGGATGTACCGATCACTGTAAAAAATATTCTGAAATTTCAGAGCAAAGTATCTCTTAAATTTAATAACATTATCTGTTGTTCTTAAACGTAATAACAGATTATGATATTTAAGAAGTTTTCTTAATATTGCAAACAAGGTTATGAGAATTCTGATGAAATTCTCAATTGTACTAAGGGGTCATTAAATTTCATAACAAGTTTATTAAATTTAAAAGTTTTCCTTAGTTTTGACA